ATAGGGAAATGTGACCAGTTTTCGACTACTCATCACTTCATTCACTCGCTTGTATTAGGAAAAACCACATGGCTAATACTATTGACATTATGGCCAGTATGAATAGGAAAGAAGGAAAACGAGCCATTTGTGTAATCAGTCACGATTGAATATGGTAAGCGAATAGTTCTGTAAACAATTAATTTTCACTGAAGGTGTTGTTGATGGGAAGTGTCAAGACGGAGGTACCATAAACAGAAAGTGCCCAGACTTAAAAGTACGTTTCAAGGGTCCGTCATTTTAAAATCTACTAGAAAGAGGAGGTGTTAGGAGGGAATAACTAAGACTGTTAGCCGTAAAATAATGACTGATACAATCAGTTAGAGATATTGATTGTTTATGGTTTAAATTTCCTTTAGTGCATAAATGATATTTACTCTGTATTGTGAATAATAATACCACATAGTCAAAACTGACCACAAAGCCAGCTAGCATTGACAAATCCTTCTCTATCATCTGCCGGGTACCAAATAAATTGCCAAAAAATAAATTCAGGTACCACATAATCCAAACAGCTGAGGCTATCGCGATTAGCCTTAAACAACCGGTGCTCTGTGTACAGAAGAAGCAAGTCCAGCCACTACTACTACCCTGGCCGGCCTTCAGTGGAGACTATAAATTATTGAACTTGTATTATTATCTTTCCTAATTTTTCTGACATTCATTCAGTGTATTGTTATGTCGTTGATGCTATCGAACTGTAATATTTTAATACTATAATATATATATATATATATATATATATATATATATATATATATATATATATGTAGAACCTGAAGAGGAGGAAGTTATCGGGGAGAATATTTATTGTTCGTTCAGTGATCATTCTTTTGAATAATAAAGTTATTGTTGTCACAGTTGTCTGAACAGTCCGCTTCGTCCTCTTTTTTGGCTGTGAAACCTGGCCATTGAGAATGGAAGACATGAAAAGATTAGCTGCCTTCGATCATAGGTGCTCGCATTCTATCTACCGTATGAAGTGGTATAATAAGGTGAGCAATATTGAGGTTAGCTATCGGTCGATTGCTAGGTAAGGAGGGGAAATCAATCGACGAGGCTGTGAAATTACATCGACTGAAATGGTTAGGACATGTGTTACGTATGCCCAGTCATCGCCTTCCTCGACTGACGGGTAATGTTAGCTGACATAGGGTCAGGCTGAAAAAGAGCTACCGGTGGTCAAATCAAAACATGCCTTCACCAGTCAATGAAATCTACAACAGTTAGTTAATGCCACGTAGGAAGGTGTAGATTTCCTGGTTGGGGTCCTCGGGACGGTAAAAACCAGTGGTTGGAAACAATTGGTGATATAGCTCAAAGTTATCGTTCTCCATGGCGTAGATGCATCCACTCCTTGTGACTTATGATTTCCGATGTAACTATATTGTTCTTCGTTATTACTACTCCTTTGTCACACACCTCAACTTACTGTCTGTATTATGCTTTTCTTGTACTTTCTTTTCTTGCTTCGTGTGATACATGGAGTGTGGCAACTTGAATTGCTGCACATTTGTGCAAAGTTCTCTGTCGAAAACAGACAGACAGACATCTACAGGGTACCATATAAATTGCTAAAGACGTCCAGGTACCCCATACTCCAAACAGCTGGGGCTATAGTGATCCGCGTGGAACAATCAGTGCTTTGTGTGCAGAAGAAGCAAGTCCAACGAGCCGATTCTACTGCCCTGGCTGGCTTTCACTGGAGACTATAAATTCATCAATTTGTATTATTATCTTTCCTGATTTTTCTGACATTTTATTCAGTGTACTGTTATGTTGTTGATGCTATCGAAATGTAATACAGTGATATTATTATTATTATTATCCACTCGGTTTTATTTAAACAACATTATTGTTCATAACACTGATTCATTCCTTCACTATTAGATGTATATATAACTGTAGAATCTGAAGAGGAGAAAGTTGTCGGGGAGAATATTCCGTGTTCGTTCAGAGATCATTCTTTTGAATAATTAAGATGGCAGCATAAAAAGATATTTGCATAGGAAAAGCACTTGGACAGGACAATATGCACATTTTCACAGCTTCATTCCTATCAAGTACAAAAGAAATTTAGTGAAGACCCTCAGCCACAGAGTTAGTCAGAGCTATATGCTCAGAAGAAGTGATTGAAGATGAATTAGGCATTGTATATGATACTTTGATTGAAAATAGCTATACCGAAAAATTTATCAAGAAACACATGACAAAGAAAACGGAAAAGGACTACTCACTATCCGTAAACAAGAAGCCTCTTTAAATACAACTACAATTGATGGGTAATATACCAAGTGAGATAGTTGCCAAGAAATTAAGAAAATCAGTTCGAAGAACTGTTAATACTGGCGAACGACACGTCTTATTCTCTACACGACTGATGGTGCTACCTCGACGGAAAGATGAAGTACCTAGACCAGCTAGCCACTTCAAATTTTACCTATCGATTCAAGTGGGCTTGTGGAGCGAGTTATATTGGCCATTGTTCTAGGAACGTGATTTTTTGGGCTCACTCGGGAACATCTCCGACTATAGCTAAGTAAAAGTGTAGTTGAAACCACTGACTGTTCGATATTGGACAATCTGCGGCAGACCGGCTACAAAGCCAGCGTGGAAGAATCCTCCCCTATCATCTATTGGGTGCTTAATAAATTGCTGAAATCACCGAAGAACCGCAGACTCCAAACAATAGAGGCTATTGCAATTCGCCCCAAACAACCAGCGCTCTGTGTTGAAAAGAAACAAGTCTAGCCCCTACTATTGCCCTGGCCTTCAGTAGAGACTACAAACTCATGAATTTGTACTATTATCTTTCCTAATTTTTCTGACATTCAGCTTATTTTATGCAGATGCTATTGAACTGTAGTCTATCGATATTATTGATTTGATGTTATTTAAACATTATTGTCGTTCATAACACTAATTCATTCATTCATTATAATGTATATATAACTGTAGAGCCTGATGATGAATTTATCGGAAAGAGTACTCTTTGTTCATTATCCATTTTTTTTGAAAAATAAAGTTGTTCTCGCAGTTGTCTCAATTAAATCTGACTTCTGTGTATCTAATTAGTGTGGGCGATTATTCCCTTGATGGTCACTTGGCTACAGTGTCGTAAGTGAAGGCTCATTCTAGTCACCATAGAGAGCAGCAACAACAAAAACACTAAATACTCAATTACGACAGGAAGCTAGAAATGTTCATATCAAAACAAAGTAGTTGTAAATGATACTTTTTTGTCAATTATGTGGGATATATGGGGAGGTATAGATTCCAATTTTTGAGTGTTTACGATGCCAAAAGCTAATATTCTAAGTTCCCCAGTGAATTGGCTCGAAAACATCCTCGACATCGTAACTTTGCTTATTCATAACCATAACCTCATTGTTTTTTCCACTGCTAGAGTCCTAAATGTAAGGGCCTCAAATTTTGAAAGAGAAAGAGTTTTGAAGTGTTCAACTCGGACCACTAGAGCCATCTGGATTCTTCTTTACGACTAGTTTCTTCTTCAAACCACGGAATATACACATTTAATCATAGGGGATAAGAAGATAGCTGCAGATAAGAGAATTTTCTTTTCAACGAAATCATCAACTAGGCTGTACATTCGTGTACTTATAATATAAATAGGTAGGATTGATGAAGAACTGAGTAATCACCGAAGAACCCTGATGGAAAACGACTTTCCGCCTAGGTTCATAGACAAGAACCTCAAATCAAAGAAGACTTCCGAACACGTTCAATCCATCCCAAAGAAGATACTTCCGCTTAATCTAGAATTCAAAGGTAATATTGAAGCAGAAATCCTTTGTAAACACCTCTGCAAATCTCTGACAAAGACATACTTCGCCGCGAGCCTACGACTAACGTTTTCCTCCCAGAAACTGTTCAGCCAGAACGCGAAAGACAAGCTGTTGCATTGAGCCACTTCAACGTGCATATACCAGTTTACTTGCTCTTGTGGAGCTGAATACATCGGCCGTACCATACGCCAACTTGAGAAACGCGTTCGTGAACACTATCCAGCCTGGCTAGTAAAAGGAGAACGAAAACGGGTATATAGTTCAGTAACAGAAAACCTAGTCAATTCAGGACATTCAGCACCATTCGAGAAATCCTTGAAAATAATAAACAAGGTGCGATCGAATCTATCAAAGGGAGTATAATTAAGACATCTGGGCATAGCCGAGGCACCAGCTATCCAAAAGCTCAAACTCACGATTTGTATCCAAAAGAAATATGTCCAATTCTTGTCCCTGCCATGGCCATCATAAACAGGTGATTCTTTTAGTAATGACCAACCTAATGACTTTCTTATCCAAACTTCCTGTTTATTCATGTAATTTTTAGCTTTTCTTAACCCCTATTTACACTACCATATTTTCATATCCAAACTTCCTGTCTATTTTGTCATTTTATTATTTCTACATATTTAATCCCTGATTGCATAAACAATTATTCGTCACATTAGTTATGATCCTACTAGATTTTTATGCAAACATCCTGTCTACCTATTTTGTTATTTCTACATTTCTAACCCCCGATCGCACAATAAGTTAATCTTCTCAGTAATTATGATGCTACTTTATTTGAGCTTTATCCATCCCTACCATGTTTATTATTGCATTTTAATTTCTAATTGTAATTCTACTAATCTGACGCTTGACCAGAAATTATTCTGGAACTTTCCCATACATTTGATATAAATACACGAATGTACAGCTATCTAGTTGGTGATTTCGTCGGGCAGAAAATTTTCTTCGCTGCAACTGTCTTTTCATTCCCTAGTTTATTATTTTTTTGGCTAGTTATTGGATTTAAGACAGTCACTACCGCCCTATTTCATCTAAAAAATATAAAATATGTTTTGTATTCACAGAATTTAAATGTCACTTTCTTATTCTCCAGGTTGTGATACCCTCTGTAGATTACAAATTAAGAAAAAAACCCGCTAATCCATGAAAAATCCAAAGACAAAGCATAAGAAGGCTCATTCTACAACGGATGATTCCCAGTTTCCCGTAGATCGGATATTTTCAATAATGTCTGTAGATGTAGCTAAAGAATTCATGAAACATTTAAACAACAACAACAATAATAATGATGATGATGACCGGCTTAAATTAGAAATGCAAAAATTACTCGAAACATCCGACTTAATATTACAACGACCAAATTTAACCTTCAAATCATCTTTAATGAACACTGATTTATTTAAACAACACTATCATCAAAAAGAGCCTATGCAATTGATCAATCAAAATTCAAAAGCCTTAGAACCAAAAACTTCTCTATGGGATTCTGCTTTAATTGACTATTTTCTCGGATGTATAAAATGGTCAACAAGTAAATGGATTGAAGAATTTTATAAAAAGAAATCAAGCTATATTGAGCATAGAATGCGTATTTCAATGTTTCAATGCCTAATAAATATTGATGATTATAGTGAAGTTGATATTGAAAAGTTGATGTGTATTAGTATTGCTTTTTCTACAGCTTATGCATTATTACATCATTTACAATTATGGCAGTTAGCAAATGAAAGTCTGACTAAACGTCAAATAGAATTAAGCACAAAAGATGAACAAATAGAGACAACCTGTTTAACTGCATCAATTCACTTTTTAAAGTCAATGTTCCAGTCATTGTCCACATATACGCCAGGTGGAATAGATAATTATAATGGGGATATTGATCAAAGTAATTTATTAGATTTCCAAAAGAAATTCTATGGTTATTTATCTATCCTTGACTTAACAGCTGGTCAATTATTAGTTGAGTACTTTTCAAAGCATTTTTTAAATAAACACAATTTATTGGAGAGAGTTTTTGGACCATTCACAGCACGTAATCAAAAATTGGTAAGTTATACGGGAGAGCGAGATTCATAAAGAAGTTTTGGTGTGGCATACTTAGAATTTTTGTTTCACAAAGTTAAGGAATAATGTTTTGGGTTCGAGCCTCAGTGGGAACACCATCTCTCATTGGGAAATTCAGGTACATCCAGTGACGAGTCCAAAACAGGACGAAACGCGCATCCTGGTGGATTCCACTGCTAGTCACCATCCACAAATTAAATTCTAATTAAATGCCCAGTTATAGTTGAAGCATCTGCACAAGAAGCCGACATATCTGCCTGGGACCGAGCACTTCAATCCAATCAATCGATGGGAAAATTTAAAGTTGAATTAAAAAACGTTTTGTATGCTTTTCCACCTCATTATCACCATGGCTGTAAAATTTTACTTTTTGAAGATGAAAGAAAACAGAAAGACAGATTCAGGGAAGAAAATTTTCTTCATCGGAGAAGTCATCTTCAGAGGCTGCACAGTCGAATCTTTATTTACCAAAAATGTACAGTGGTCCATTACTGAGTGACAGGGGTGATATAATTAATATAATTACTTATAAGTGCCTTCAAAAGTAAAAATGAATGTTATAAGTGTTAACCCCAACTGCATATACAAATTTACACGTATCTGCGGGAGCAGTTACTTTGGAAGAACAGAAGGAAGGGCATACTTACGATTTTATAAACATGTACCAAAAAGCTTTAAACAGTACCATCGCCAGGCATCCCCTTGACACAGGTCATGAGGTGGACGTTGAAATATCATTCAAGATTATCAGTAAGCAAAAGAGCTCAATTCTCCTCAGGTTTGCCAAGGCGATCTCCATCAAGCACCTGAAATTCAATTTATGCGTTCAGAAAGAAATGGTTATCATTCTTTCCCTGCACTGGTAACTGGGTATTTTCACCTTTCTTTCATCCGATTACGCTATGCTGAAAAGTTTCCATGGTGTATGACCATTATTGTTCAGAATAAAGCGTGTTTTTATATATATATATATATATATATATATATATTGTTGTATAAATATATTGATGGTTTTTGTTGAAAAATGAACTCTGTGCAATTATTGATATAAGTATAAGACTTCGGCAGTGTGGTAGAGTTTTGCCATTAACAGTGTTCTCTGAGCTGGTTGGTTTAGTTGTGGAGCTTTCGTCGTCTTTCTGGACGACATCTTCAGCGCAGTATTTAGGATAAAGTGAAATGATTTAAATTTCTTCATGAGTGGTATGATTGCGTCTCCCGGTAACCATCTTTAAATATGTATTGAACGTTTTCCATTGATTGGGATTTTAAACTTTCTGGTCACCTGATTTACTTTTTAGTAGTTGATATATTTCATCTATATTAACGTGTTTATTAATTGCATTTTCGTTTGAGTACCAGGCTTCTAGGAATTCCCTGGCACATTTGGTGTTTCCTCTGTTTAAGATTTTGATATTATCCCAATCAAATCAATGTCCATAATTATCTGTATGCATTGATACTAAAGAATTTATATCATGTCTTTTCACGGCTGACTTGTGTTCTTGGATTCTTAATCGAAGGGACGCCCACTTTGGCTGATGTAATATTTGTTACAGTTCATACAATTTATTTTGTAAATGGTGCTAATTTTATCTCCTTTTTATGTTGGATCTTTTGGTTTGCATAAGATCGAATTAAGTGATTCGGCTGGTTTGTGTGCTACATCTATATCAAACGGTTTCATTATTCTAGCCGTTATTTCAGAGATATCTCTGATGTATGATAGGATGAATTTCCTTTTGGTCTTTGGTGATGGTTCTTTGTTGGTGCTTTGGTTCGACTTTAAACACTTTTTGATGAAATTTTTTGGATAACCATTCTTCTTGAAGACCGTTTGTAAGTATTTTTTTTCCATTCTTTTCAATTCTGGTGTGCTACAATGTGTTTGAACTCTTCTAAACAATGTCTGCACACAGTTTCTTTTGTGAGCAATTGGATTGTTGCTAGTATAGTTGAGTATTTGATTTGTGTGCGTTGATTTTCTATATATACTAAATTTCCTGTGTTGGTTCTCCTGATTAAGACATCTAAAAATGGGATTTTGTTATCTAATTCTTCTTCTCTCGTGGGGAATTTGATGTCTTCAAATATGTTGTTTATTAATTTATGGGTATATTCTAAATCATTTCTTTTAATTATTACAAATGTATCATCAACGTAACGTACCCAGATTTTTTGTGCATAACGGCTTCAGCTATTAATCCTGATATGGACGATCCCATTGGTGTTCCCTTTATTTGCTCATATATCTGAGTATTGAATTGGAAGTATGTTGTAAAGCATAATTTTATGAGTTCTATCCAAGTTGAACATTGCATTTTTATGTTTTCATCACTATAGAGTAATTTCATCATGAGCTGACATTAGTTAGAGAACCATTGGAAAACCTGGGAGTACTGAACAGCTGTTTCGTCCTAGTTTGGGACTCTTCAGCAGTACGCACCCACCGGGATTCGAACCCAGGACCTTCTGGTTACAAGGCGAGCTCGTATACCATTAAACCACTGGGACCCGATCCAATGGTCCTTGAATTCCAACTTCTCATGATGAAATCCTGAAACCAATCAAATCCCTACAAACCAACACTTGAATACCAATGAAATGCTCACTGGCGACTGGCCCTATTCAGATAGGTAGTTACCTGGGTTCCAGTGGGAAGTCGTGACCAGTAGGGTGCAGCGGGTCGTGTGAGGACAAATACTCGCCGAAGACATTGGCTAGCGGTCGCGCTATGTCGTGAATTGGCAGAAGTTAGAATTCAAGGACCATTGGATCAGGTCCCAGTGGCTTAATGGTATACGAGCTCGCCTTGTAACCGGAAGGTCCTGGGTTCGAATCCCGGTGGGTGCGTACTGCTGAAGAGTCCCAAACTAGGACGAAACAACTGTTCAGTACTCCCAGGTTTTCCAATGGTTCTCTAACTAATGTCAGCTCATGATGAAATCCAGAAACCAATCAAATCCCTACAAACCAACACTTGAATATAGAGTAATTGTTGCATAGTTTCTGTTGCTAGTTTTGGACTAATTGAAGTATATAATGCTGTGACATCATATATATATATAATGCTGTGTGGTAGAGTATAACTTCATTAATGATAAGATTTTATTTTGATAAATCACACAATGTTTTACAGCAATCTTAACTCATGATTTATCAAAATAAATTTTATATCTATCATGCAAGTATATTAAAATTGTTTCGGTAGATATATTTAATAATGACTTTGGCCTGTAAGCAACCGATGAGAAGCCAACGAAATAAATGACGGCACCATTTTGTTCTACAAAAACTGTCGTTCTTAATTTATTCAAATTTATACGTCATACTCAACCGTACAAACGTAGTAAGGGTTAGAAATTTGATGATGAGGTTAAAATTGTTACTGAGTGAGAATAAAGGTTGTTGAATGTGCATTTAACAAGTGTTAAGAGCGTGAGAAAACTTACAAAAAGCAACATGTGAGAGAGTGATAATAGTGAATTAATTATTATTAAAGTTAAAATAAAGTGATCATTAAAAATGTACAGGAAACGACTAATGAAGGGGTTAAAACCATGGTAGAATAAGAGACTGGAAAACCGTTTGCTGTATATAGAGTTCAGGGTTGCATTGACGAATTGCCAGAGCCTCCGCCATACAAAAATGCTGAAACCTGATGCCCTTTGTACCCATTTAACCTCAGCTTGTAGATAATCTTGACAAGACGACTCTAGTGGAGTCGTGTGGCTTGAATTCACCAAGTGCTCAAGAATTGAGCTAGTAATTGTCTTGCATTGTCCTTTCGCTAACCGTGACGGACAATGTTCAAAGATGCGTTTGAAAAGTGTACGCTATGTGCGTACTTCTTCTCACTCAATTAACTATTTTAACCTTGTCAAATTTCCAACCCTTCTTCTTTCTTTGTGCTGTTGGGTATTACGTAACTCATAACTTTTAGTTTTACCTTGATATGAATATGAGCAGCAATAAAGTGTGCTCGAAACGTCATCAGTAAGTATTACTGTATAACAAGGTGAGACTTTTTCAAAATAAATTTACTCCATAATGGAGTTATACTGAACCACAGTGATGGCCAAGTTTTATCCTCATGTCAACACTGTTACTGAAACCTCAAAGCTCAAGCGTGAAACAGTATTTTCCACTCGGAACTTACAGGAATATAATGTAACTTCCTCTAAGCACTTGACCAAAAGGTTACAGAAGACCGAGTACATGGTTTAACTGGTTGCCTTCGTTCTATTCTTTCAAGTAAGTAGAAACGAAAGGATAGTAAGTATGTTTTCCCAAAACTTACATACCCACTATGCAGTTTTATACAATAGTTGTTTCATAGATTAACAAACTGTTGAGTTAATAAGATCTAGCGCTATAACCATTCGTTTTCCAATTTTAATTTCTACTTATACGTAATGTATCCTCCACAACTAATTCATCATTTATCCCATACTACTATGCAGTGTGCTCAATATTTAGTAGTATATCGATTTAGTAATGAAAGTGTTTCAAATATGCGAGAAAATCGATACAGACAATTATCTATTGTTGGTTTGCAGGGATTTGATTGCCTACAGGAATAGTCATGAGGTGAAATCAGTTAGAGAACCACTGGAAAACCTGAAAGTACAATGCACCTCTTTCATCCTAGCTCGGGATTCTTCGGCAGTATGCACCTACCTAGGTCCGAACTCAGCACCTTCTTGTCACAAGGCCAGTGAGGTCGTAGACCATCCATCCACTGGGACCCGATTCAAGGGTCTTTTTACCTGACTTTGTGGATCCCACTAGTTACGAGTCCTGACAGCTACTCGCCGATGGCACTGGCTTGCGGTTGAGTTAAACGTGTCATGGATTGACAGAAGTTGGAATTCATGGATCATTGGGTTGGGTTGCAGTAGCTGAATGGTTTACAAGCTTGCCCTGTAACCGGAAGGTCCTCGGTTCGGATCCTGGTTAGTACTTACAGATGAAGAGTCTCGAGTTGGGACGAAACAACTGTTCAGTACTCCATTCGAGGTTTCTGTAGTTTTCTAACTCATGTCAGCTTATAACCAGTCCTATAAACAGTTATCTGTTAAGCAGCAAGAAGTAAATTCTAGTGGCAGACTTCTATTTGAAATTTATTCAAAATGTTCAATATGAATGTTTGTCTCTTATTCCTCTAATCATTTCCCTATTTACAGATAAAAATTCCCTGTCCACTTCATATTGAAACTTTATTGGAAAGATATGAAACAACAAATTCTACCTGGCCAGCTCCATTATCTGAAGCTGTCCCGCTAACATTCATTTCAAAATACCCACAGTTATTTGCTGACAAAGTAACCAAATGGCTGAAACTTATTGAACCCATTGAAAGTAAACAAGGACCACTTGTAAAGGATACATTGGAAGAAAATGAACAGTCAGAGGAAATCAAACAAGAAGATGACGAGGCAGAAAATCCAGCAGAAATCAGTAAAACAAATGAGTCACTGGAGGAGAATGAACAGCTGGACTCAATGTTATTCTATGAAAAATATCTCACTTCAATTGATTCACTGGATTCTAATGAGTTGAATGCAATTATTCAAGTGTCACACAGTGAATTAGATGAAATTGTCAAAAAGTTATTCAACGATGCATCATCGTTTAGTGATCAACAACTGGTGGATAAAATGAAGGATAGACAAATGGAATTAGGTCTTAGAATAATCGAGAGAGCAAAGCTTAGAGCTAGTGAGAAGAATAGTCAATGTAATAATTGACTATACTCATGTGTGTACTTTATGATTAGTGAATGTGTGGAGAGGCGAGGGATAAAGGCTAACACACAATTTGTTTGCTTTTCAGTCATGTACAGGTTAGATCACTTTCTTTTTTTAACAATGACAATTGTCAGGGTACTTAACGCTAAGTTCCTATTATTTGTGAAGACGCTCCGAACCGATAATTACTATGTATGTTTCTTGACTTTAACTCCAAAACACCAGTCAGTACTTGTTAGAAGGTTGCATTGATTGACAGTTAAAATCAAGATAATTACAAGTTTATAAACAAATGTTTTACACTAAATATAATGTACTTTATTCGTATTTTTTCGTCTTCTGCCAACTTGTACATGATTGAATCATTCATGCCTTCGAGTTGCCCACCAATGGCTACCAGTTTCAATAAACAAACGTTCAATATTCGCGTCCGTTGACAACAATAACATATACAGTCGAGCTTCAGTTTTTCATATATTTATTAATATTATGAAATTGTTACAACAGAAGGCAAGACACGGAAGCGAAGGTATATTTTCAAGGGATCAAACTGCTATCTATATCTGTTATAATATTATTGTTCCCTTGGATTCAAGCCCTATGGACAATGCATCTCCACTCTGTTCTATTTTCTGCGATCCTCTTCAGATGGGTCCACGATGGCTCAAACTCTATCCTGTCTTCCTCACACGATATCCTCCATATCACCCTAGGTCGATCTGCTCGTCTATGCAGTTTATATACTTTAACTAATCACTAAGCGTGTGATTTTGGTTTACATTTAAACAGGATGTTCAAATGCCTATATAATATTGTGTTGCTGATTCAGCATCGAACTATGGGAATATGTGAGAATAATATCCCGTTGGAACCCATTGTCTGTATCACACCACCACAAAATGTGTATAGTTTGAAGAGATGTGACATATTGTTGTTAGATGGTAGGAGGCGATCGGCAGGAAGCCTTGAACCTGTGCATAAGAATTCATATCCTTTTTGAAGTTCAAACTGGGGTCATACACTTCAAAGTGCATTATAATGGTGAGACATCCAGCATGGTAGTCATATTGCCAGCTTGACTGATGGAATTCAGTCCGTACCAGACAAAGAACTAGATTATTGCTATTATTACATATTTTTGTTTTCTTTAGTTCCTAGAGGAACATAGGGCTTCAACAGCACGACCCTGTTGCGTTCGGTTCTCTATCAACGTTTCCATTTGGCTCCATGTCTGCCCATATGCTTTCATCTCCTCTTCACATGACCTCCTCCGTGTCACCCTCTCACTGACGACCAACTGACTCATCGCTTCCCATTCGGGTTCCATTTGAGAGCGATGGCCCGGTGTGTGATTTCACGTGATGGTGTGTTTTCTCAGAGTATGGCCCATCAATCCACCTCCATTTCTTCCTGCATATTTCTCGCACAATTGGTTTCTGCTGGGTTGGTTAGCTCTCAGAGATCTCTGTGTGTTGATCTTTTCTACCCAGCTATCTGATATTGAGTACTGAACGAAGACAACTGTCAATGAAGGTCTGTAGTTGGTTTGAGATGCTCTTTATCACGCATCAAGTCTCTGATCCGTGTGGTGAGTAGCACTGACTTCACATTGGAGTTGAAAATTCGAATCTTATTTTGGATGCTGAATGCTGTTGACCTGCAAACAGACTTAAGAGTAATGAAAGCTTGTCTTGCTTTTCCGATTCTGGCTTTGATATCCTCGTCAGTTTCCCCTGTAGTCGAAACGACGCTTCTCAGGTGATTGGGTAGAGGAGGTTGTTTCTTTTAGGTTCCTGCCATTTATGCTGGCTGTTGTTGTTGGCCAGGAACCTTCATCACCTACATATGTCCTATCTTCTCTGGATACTTCTTCTGCACTAGATGCATAACATTAATTACTACTTAGTGTTCAGTCAATTATTTCATAAATATATACATATATATTTAGCTAATCTGTTAAGAAATAGGGTATTGTCTTGTGTAACTGAGAGGATTTTAGCTCAGGTAGGTAATTTTAGTATGGCTGCTTTGTCGGAGCCAAGTGGTTTATTTACAAAGTTTCCAATGTCTGTCTAGACAACTTCTTCAACTCGAATTTCAGTATGAAGTGAGCTGGTTTGAATTCTGCATAAAATAATAGTGTACTTATCTCATTTGGAAAGAATTCATTTGCGATCGGTTGTTCATTTGCATTCGTATCGATCGTTTTACTGACTTCAATCTTGTTTGTTTTTTTATTATGTGAATTACTCTTTGTTAGTTCAAAAATTTGGTCTATGTCAATGGATCTATGTGTCGGAGATCTGAAATATCTGGTGCTTAAATTTTTTAAAACTTCTAAATTTTTCCAGTCACATAAGTGTCCACTTTTGTCTACAAGCATTGCTGTGAAGGAATACATGTAGTGTCTTTTGAGAGTTAGTTTGCGTTCTTGGGCTTGTAGTCAGAGGAGATGTCCACATTGTCCAATTGAGTGCTATTCACAGTTGACTCGCCTTCTTTTGTAAATGGTGTAGAATTTGTCTTGGTTTGCTGTTGTGTCTTTTGATCTGCATAGTATTGAATAAAATGATTCTTGGCTATATCTATTCCAAATAGTTTTAGTATTCTAGCCATCATCAATCGTCTAGGAATTAAAAGAGAAAATAATGCCAGTAATAATAAGGTATACTATTGAAATATGAAATATGGTAGCATAAATTGTAACGGAAATAAATTTCACTTAAAAATAAGCTAAGCGAGTCTTTTTCTCTTCAAGCAGAAATGCTAAAAGATTTAATAATGAACTGGTGTTAAGATTATCTCTGAGAATGGCAGACTACACTATTGATGACTTGATGACGATTATTAAGATTTACATGAAAATGAATACAGGATGAACCTCGTAGTATTTTACTTCGAATAATAAAAAATAAATCGATTAAAAATGCCCATTAAAGTTTTTCAAAAGAATGGTTACTGAACAAAGAATACTCTTTTCGATAATGCCTTTAACATCAGGTTCTACAGTTATATATACACACCATAGTGAATAGTTATATTGACGATTGCTCTATGAATTTGATTTTTTCGTGCTCACTCAGGAACATCACGCAGTGTGGCTAAGTAAAGGTGTAGTAATAACCATCAACAGTTCGATATTCGAACACCTGGGCCAAACCTGACGGCCATAAAGCTAGAGCATTGAAGAATTCTTCTCTATCATCTACCGGGTATCAAATAAATTGCCAAAAACATCCAGGTACCGCCTACTCCAAACAGCAGAGGCTATCGCGATTCGCCTTAAAGCTCCGGTGCTCTGTGTGCAGAAGAAGCAAGTCTAGCCACTTCTACTGCCGTGGCCAGGTTTCAATGGAGACTATAAATTCATGAACTTGTATTATTATCTCTCCCTATTTTTCTGATATTTAGTGTATTGTTATGTTGATGCTATCGAATTGTAATCCAAAGATATTATTATTATTATTAATTCCATGTTATTTAAAGAACATTAATGTTGTTAATCACACTAATTCATTCATTCACTATAATGTGTATGTATAACTGTAGAACGTGATGATGATGAAGTTATCGGCTAGGACTATCTTGTTATGAACAACATCAATGTCGTTTAAATAACATCGAATCAATAATAATAATAATAATGTCAATGGATTACAGTTCAATAGCATCAACGTGACAATAAACTGAATGTCAGAAAAATTGGGAAGGATAATAATACAAATTCATGGATTTAAAGTCTCTACTGAAGGCCAGCCAGGGCAGTAGTAGTGGCTGGCTGGCTGGACTTGCTTCTTTTCAACACAGAGCACCAGATGTTAAAGGCGAATTTCAATAGCCTCTGATGTTTGGAGTAGGCGGTACCTCGATGTTTTTGGCAATTTATTTGGTACGCGGGAGATGATACAGAAGGATTCTTCCATGCTGGCTGGCTGGCTTTGTTGCCGGTTTGCACCAGATGGTTTAATATTGAGCTGTTGATGGTTTTCACTACACTTTTACTTAGCCATGCTGGGAGATGTTCTCGAGTGAGCACGAAAAATCACGTTCCTAGATCAACGGCCGATATAACTCACTCCACAAGCCCACTTGAATCGATAGGTAAAATTTGAAGTGGCTAGCTGGTCTAGGTACTTCATCTTTCCGTCGAGGTAGCACCATCAGTCGTGTAGAGAATAAGACGTGTCGTTCACCAGCATTAAAAGTTCTTTGAACTGATTTTCTTGATTTCTTCATAATTATTTCGCTTGGTATATTGCCCTTGATTGCAGTCTTATATATAAAGGCTTCTTGTTTACGGATAGTAAGTGGTTCTTTTCCGCTTTCTTTGTCGCATGTTTCTTGATAAATTTGTCAGGAGAGCTATCTTCAATCAAAGTATCATATACAATACTTAATTCATCTTCATTTACTTCTTCTGAGCACATAGCTCTAACTAACTCTGTGGCTGAGGGTCTTCACTAAATTTCTTTTGTACCTGATAGGAATGAAGCTGTGAAAATGTGCATATTGTCTTGTCCAAGTACTTTTTCTATGCAAATTTCTTTTTATGCTCCCATCTGGTTGTCTCGTAAGGAGGACATCCAGGAAAGCAATTCTGTTTTGGGATTCCTTTACGTTTGTGAATAGTTATCACTGAGTATGATGGGATGGGTAAATGAACAGATTTAGAGATGTGTGAATAAGAAATGAAACAGACAGACACAACAATATACAGGCTTTCATAAATAGCGAATCTTTTCAAAAATGTACAAAACTACATACTACTGATTGACTGAGATGAGTAGTCGTATACAACTCATATTAACCAGTAATACTAGCTAAACAGATCTAGAAGATTTGAACACTGGATGCCCGTTTCTCTATTGTTTAAGACCGAGGTTATCCGCTGTATACCCACTTTGTCTCGGCTCAAAGAGCTGAATCAGTTAGCCACTTGGCATAAAACTGATACACAATTTCGCAAATTAATTCGCAAGTGACACATTTCGAGGCGTTGA